CACGGTTAAAAATTTCGGTTTTAATTTTAAACTTTTTGGACTACATATATGACCAAACTAAATTCAGTTTCAAATACAAACCTTCCAAGTTTAAAAAAAAGAGAGCACATATGATGGGTTTAGAATTTAAACAATTCGGTTTAAATGTTAAACCCAAACATTTTCATAATTAAGAATAAAAAAAAAAACAATCTTAAATTTCATGCTCCGTCTGGTTGGGATTGAACCCGGACAGCCTTGGTAGCAACCAATTGTATCAAGCATCTTTGCACACTCAGCTACAGCCACGCATGGAAATGTGCTTTCATATGTTGAGTTTGAATCAACACCACAATTCGCTGTGCAACATATTCTATTTCGGTTTAGATTTTAAACCAAAGTTTCTATATATGAAACCTAGAAACTAGAATTAAAACATTTTGGTTTGATTTTTAAACCACGAACTTTTTGGGCTAAAATTTAAACCAGAATATATTAAAAATTGCGTAAAACTATTGACTGGTTTAAAAAGTAGACTATAAAAGTTTAAAAAAGGCAGTAGTCCCAGCGCGGTTTAAAAATTAAACCCAAGTTTTTGACCGTGTGTCACTACGAAGGTAATTAAAAAATCTCGTGTGATTACAGCCGATCTGGGAGTAGAAATTTCTCTACTACGTTTTGCAGGTAAAAAAAAAAACAGAAGTAACGCCCCATCGGTCAATGAAAATAAGTACTGGTGATGATCTGTAATAATACCGTATCTGGATTCACTAACGCCTTCTTTACAACTACACTTTTCCAATAAAAAAACTCCAGCTCCAGCATTGAAGAGGTACAAAAGAACGCGAAACATTTTGAACAAATCTATGATCTTGATGTTGAAGTTGTAGATCCGTTTAACAGGGAAATTAGATGATTCAACTTTCACAGGCGATTAGTTGAACCAATACTTGAACGCAAGTAGGCAGCTGACCAAGTTCATTGAAAGCGAATAGTTGAAAGGCCATTGACACCAGGCAACTGCTGCATTCAACTAAAAGTTGCCTGTAAAATCGCCTCATGTGAATTCCCTATAAAGAAGCAAATGAATTTCTACCAGCGACAAATAAGTGCATTTCCATTCTGATAGTTTCCATGCACAACAGCCACTGTGGAGCGATCGTTTCATACATTTCGTAGAGTAAAAACCTGGCTGAGAAGGACAACAGGTGAATAAAGGCTTTCTGGACTATGCCTAATGAGCGTCCATGGAAAATTCGTTACCCAAAACCGCGAGATGATTCAGGAGGAAATAATCGAAAAGTTTTCTGAAAGTCCGAGACGTTTGTTATTAGCGTAAAAATGATTAAATATAAAATAGAAATTTTGTAAGATACGCCCTTGGCTGAATACTAGAGTGGTTGACCCGGGTTTCCCAAACCGGTTTCCATCGTTTTTTTTATCAATAGGCGGTTTTTTTGAAATCTTGATCTTTACCCGACTTCAAAAAGGAGAACTTTATTAATTCCTTGGAAATTTTTCTTATGTATGTTACCGCATAACTTTGGACTACGTCAAATATTCTTTGTTTGAGGAAAGGTGCTACCTCAGATGTGCTCCCATACTAATTTGGTTTAGATCCGATTATCGGATCAAGAAGAAATACTCTATAATCTTAAATTTTTATTTGAGAATTGAAGTCGGTTTTATTTTATGCTTCAAAATTAGTTGTTCCAATATCGCATAAACCAGATTTTTCATCAGACAAACCGATTTTTTATTTCGTACAAATCCTTACCTCTCAAGGAAATTTTCGAGTTTTTCGAAGATTTCAAAGCATTTTCCAGTTTAGGAAAACCCCTAAATAGTTTTAAAATTATATTCTAAGGTATTTGGGGCAGGAATGGGCGTAATCAGGAAAATTAATAATTGAATGAAAAAAATAAGAACAAAAATCTATTCGTCATTCAAAATTGTTTAAGTGTTGAATGAAAACTTATTCTTATTTTTATTCTTCATTCCAATAATTTCGAATGACGAACAAATTTTCATCGTCATGAAGAAATTTCAAATAACGAATAAATTTTTATTCATCATTCAAGTAATTTCGAATGAAGAATAAATAAATTTTCATTCATGAAACAAGTAATACCGAATAACGGATATTTTTCATTTATTATTCAGCCATTCTTTCTGGACGACCGTACAAGGTAGACGATCATGGTTAAACTTCATATCGTTTATATTCACTTATTTATTGGGTATAAGATATTAGAAAATGTAATATTAAATCATGTATGTATATAAATATGTACATAAGTATATATGTTTGATAGCATTCACAAGAAATACATACATATCGAGTGCTGAGTGGAAGATCGACCTATCTCGGCAGCCAGTTCAAACACGCCCTATCTCAAAAATCGTTTCAACGTTATTTAAGAATTCTATTTAAAAACACCCTATCTCAAAATTTGGTTGGAGAACGCCTTATCTCACTTCAAAATACATTGAAAATGTGCTGAATTAGTGATGTGCCGAGTCGCCTATTTTTGGTACTCTAGTATTTTGGTACTCATTAAAAAAAGAATCGAGTCAGGATTCGAGTCAGATACTCGAATCAAGTATTCGAGTTCAGAGCTCGGTATTCGTATACGTTACAGATTCGACTGCTGAACATGCACCCAGCCGAAATGCCGACTTTTTAATTAACATGATATTATTATTAACTCCAAGATAGTATATCCGATTTATGTAGATCCAAACATAGAAATCTAATTCTTACATACTTGCAAATAATAATTAGAATTAAATAAATATAGGGTTCAATAACAGTTGCTTTATTTATCATAGTAGAACTAGAACTTAGTAGTCTGTCATAAAAAAAAATATCCAAAGTAAATAATGAGTTAAAACAAATAAATCTTCAGTACCTTAAACGTTCAACTAGTACTTCAATTATAATGACAATATTCCATGAGATCTAGATTCATAAACAATAAAATTACTCCTTTGGAATTTAAAATTCCTTTCATCTTTGGCAATTAATACCTATAACGATATTAAAATTAATTTAGTTGTGTGGTGTATTTGGTAAATATATATATATATTTTTTTAACGCTAAACCGCCATTTATATATCAAAAATACCTGATTCGG